TCAGAAGACATCTGAAGGCAGCCCTGTTTAGGGAAGTTTTTAATGACTGATGTTTTAATGTATTTTTAATCTTTTGTTGGGAAGCTGCCCAGAGTGGCTGGGGAAACCCAGCCAGATGGGCAGGATAGAAATAATAAATTATTATTATTTCCCAGCAACTGGTATTCAGAAGCCTGCTGCCTCCAACCCTGGCTCAGAGCAAAGCCAGTGTGGCCAGAAGCCTGCTGATAGCCTTCTCCTCCAGGAATCTCTTTAACCCTCTTTTAAAGCCATCCAAGTTGGTGGCTGTCACTGCTGCTTGTGACACCATGTAGACCTTGCTGGTTCGTGCCTTGGCCTGCACGCGATTTGACTTCCCCTCCCTTGTCCTGCTTAGAAGGATGGTCACATTGTTCTGACTTTTTTAAAAGATGCACCCCTGTCTTTGGAAGTCTCTGTCTTGGCGTGCAGACATAGGGTACAATATAAGCACTGCAAGGAGAAGGGGGAGGGAATAAGCTCTGTCAGGGAGAGCTGCATTTGCTTGCTAGTCTGTCACTAGCCTAGATTACAATATTATCCTGATGCAAAGTCACTCCTCTGTCCTTTAGGGAACCCTTTTAAAATGAAAGTTGTGGCGTCAAGACTCCAGCTGCACCTGTCTTGTGACTCTTTCCCCCCAGGGCATGAATTATTGGAACTGATTTGCATGCTCATGCCTGCATTTATATCGTAGGTGGTTGACTTCTGCTGTGGGGAAGGGCCATAGTTTAGTGGTAGAGGATCTGCCTTCAAGCAGAAGTCCCAGGCGGCATTTCCAGGTAGGCAGGGAAGGACTCCTGCAGAAATCCTGGAGGGCTGTTTGCGTAGAAATATTTAGCTGGATGGACCAACAGTCTGACTCAGAATAAGGCAGCTTCCTCTGTTCCTAGGAGCTGGCCCAGGTTCTCTTACAACAGCATATTTAACAGCATCAAACCCCACTCTTTCTTTCTTTTTTTTGCAATGGTGCAGGGACAGTAGCCCATGGCACCCATCACACTTAAGCATTAGTTAGCATGTAGCCACAGTTGGATGTCTTTAATCTTGGTTAAATCCAGACATGGAGCCAGGGGAGCTGACACAACCGTGCTTGTTTAGTACAAATTAATTCCTAAACTGGTTTTCAAGTTTGCTCCAGGCCCATTTCACCAGCTGCTTTGTGGCCAGTCCTTAATTATCAGTGTAGGCATATTGGGGCAACATTTCACCGTGGTTAGTAAAACAAACCATGGTTTTAAGTGTTAATGGTCTGATTTCTCACAAAGCACTGAGCCTAAACTATGGCTTAGCAAGGGTGCATAGGGAGAAATTTGTGGCAGATAGGCTTCCTATCCACCCCTGTTACTGCCACACCACCAGGAAGCAACTGAAATCATGTTCCCGGCTAAATCCCAAATGCTTGAGGGAGTGCAAACGTCTTTATTGTCCTCTCAAACAGGTTCAAGGAAGAACACAGATAGTTTTGTGGCTGCAGCCAAAAGGGCTTTGGGTGATCTCCAAAGCTGCCTCCCTAGATTTGACAGGCACCCTCCTTGCTGAACTTCAGGCACGAACAAAAACTTCCTTATTTCAGCAGGCATCTTTAAGTTTGTAGCTTTTAGGATGAATTTTAATTGTTCTTATTCTCTTTTTTATTATCTACACTGCTTAGAGATTCTTAATGTTAAGTTGTATATAAATATCTGAAATAAATACATAAACTAAGTTGTACGCTAGGTAGACCCTGAGTGTGGCTGACATCATAATAGAAGTTTTATCTTCCTTCTAGGGTCACAGAGCAGTGTTTACCCCCTTTCCTATACTTTCAGCAACCCTTTGAGGTAGACTGGGCATTAAGGCAAGATGTGCTTATTCACTGCACCTGCATGAGCTGTGGGACAACTGAAATGTGTTATGCCAGGGTCCGCCAATGCTGTTGCTGAGCCACATCCCCCTTCGGCTGCATCAGCCAGGGATGATGGGAGTTGTAGTCTAGCATCACCTAGAGGGCCCCTTGTTGGCCACCCCCATGTTAAGCAATCATTGTTCCATTTTGACTGGGCTGCAGACACGCATTCATTTAAAATGCATGACTTCCCCCAAAGAAACCTGGAAACTGTGGTTTGTTAATGATGATAGGAATTGTAGCTCAGTCAGGGGTGAACTACTGTTCCCCCAATTCTTTTTGGGGGGCAGAGCCATATGGGGGCTACACAGCCTAAATGTGATTCCCTTTGGAGCTGCAGCTGGAGAGAGAAGTGAGCCTCAGGCACCCCCAGAAGAGCTGGAGCGATTTGGAAGTGTGGCACTTATGCATTTGATTTAAAGCCCTGGTCTTGCCGGAACTCTTGATCCGTGTTTGTTTTTCCCATTCAGTGGTTTGACTCAGACTGGTTCTTCAACTTCATTTCCTTTGCTGGGGCGAGGCATCATTCCGGGAGTTTAACTTACTGACTTTACATCTAAGAGTTGAAGCACCAGTGGCTGGGGGCCTTTTTTAAAAAAAAGGTTTTGGAATTATCCTTGGTCCACTCTGTTTGCTGTCAGAGTCTATGGTCCTTAGCATGCATACTTGTAGGCACACTCCAATAAAATTAACAGGTTTTATGGCCAAAGTAAAGTAGATTTGGGTAGAGTGCCATTTCACTTCTGTGCTTTTCAGGCCTATTCTGAACCGGTCTGGTGCAAGGATGCAGGTTGTAAAGTTGAAATTTGAACTATCATTCTTGAAATTTAGAATGCCAGTGTCAGAATTAATATCTCAAATTCCAAAGCTCTTTTTTTTAGGTTTTTTATTTCCACAATAAATCTTTAATTGAGGCATACCTTTCAGGTCTTTAGTAACATGATATTGAGTTTTTTGTGGTGTTGCACAACCACAGAGTAGAACCGTTCAAATTAATGGACATGACTAGCTTGCTTCATTGATTTCACTGGGTCTTTTCTGAATAGTTGGATGCAGCCCATCATTATTCCTTATAGCCCACCCTTATAAAGAGTCCAGGACAGCCAGCAGCATCAAAAAATGCAAAATTGGAAAAAAGTAAAGTCATAATCTAAAATACATCGGTGAGACAATTATATCCATAGTGCCACTTTTACTATGCCCCCAAACAGCTGCAGAAATAAATAGGTCTTGAGGGGACAGCTGAATTTGTACAGAGACATGTATGGGTGGCATTTGCCTAGTTTTGTTACTAGAAATCTGAATTTTAGCTTTACAATTGAGGCACAAAGTTCCATTAAAAAAAAACCACATCCAGCGTGACTCCTTGGCAATGAGGACTAGAAACTTGCTCGGACCCCAGAATGGAAGCTGAGCCTGTCACGGTCAAAAATTCTGCACTGACGTTGAACATACACAGCCTCCATCTTTGAGAAGACACTCCAAGAGGTTTCTTTGTGATACCTTGAACTGTTGAAATCCAGCTTAACCCGCAGCCACTGATGTCACATAATTTGTTTGCATAAGAAATAAAACTCCTGAACTTCAGGCTGCTGTCTGTATCCTTGTGAAACGTCAAGAAAGGTCATGGGTGGAAAAAAGACTTTCTTTGGTCTTTCCAATTACACTCTTATCCAGCGTGTTCTGCTATGAGGAAGTGGAGGGTTGTTTTTTAAAGGTAAATAAAGGCCTGATTCTAGCTGTTAAATGGTTGTGAAGGCAGGGTGTCTTGCGTAAGCTTAACCATATTGGAGTGAATAGGCTTTTAAAATGCCACACTTTTTTTTTTGCTTTTTGCCTAGGCTGAAACAAGCGGTGTAGCTGTTGAAATAATGGGCTGGGTGTTTGCGCAGGAAGCGCTGCTTTCCATCTGGCAGGCTGCAGCTCCATTTGGCTCAGCACTTCCTCTCCTTTTTCTATAAAGGAAGACTTGAGTTGTTCTTCAGCTTGGAACAGCTTCATCAAAAGTTAATCCCTAACTGGTAGAAGTTTGGATTGGAGCTGTGTGTGTGTGTGTGTGTGTGTGTGTGTGTGTGTGTCTGGAAGTCCTCCCTTCCCCCAGCCCACACCTGGGTGATCAAAAGACTTTTTAGCTTAGAAAGAGGTGGCGTGTTAGAAGTGTATAAAATTATACATGGAATTTCCCCCTCCCTCTCTTGTAACACTAAGAAGTCAAGGACATCCAATGAAGCTGTGTGTTGGAGGATTCAGGGCAGATTAACGGAAGGACTTCTTCACACAGTGCATAGTTAAAACCATGGAACTCACTTATACAGGAAGCTGTGACAACCACCAACTTAGATGGCTTTAAAAAAGGATTAGAATTCAGCCTTTCTCAACCTGTGGGTCCCCAGATGTTGTTGAACTACAACTCCCATCACCCCTAGCTAGCAAGGCCAGAGCTCAGGGATGATGGGAGTTGTAGTCCAACAACATCTGGGGACCCACAGGTTGAGAACCGCTGGATTAGATGGATTCCTGGAGGAGAACAAGGCTATCAGTGGCTACTGTCCACAGTGACTTTACTCTCCCTCCAGTGCTGGAGGCAGTGATGCTTCTGAAAACCAGTTGCTGGAAGCCGTAGGAGGGAAGACAGTGTTCTTGCACTCAGGACCTGCTTGCTAGTTTCCCTTTGGAGTATCTGATTGGCCACTGTGAGAACAGGAGGCTGAACTAGATGGGCCCTTGGCAAGATCCAGCACGCTCTTCTTACGCTCTTGGAATACTCTTTGAAATAGACCTAAGTTAGCTATATCTGATGATTTTTAAACTCTGCTCTGAGTTGTTCAACTTTGGATACAGCCCAAAACTTTTATCCATCTGTTTCGTGAAAGAGACAAAACAGCAGCATAAAACAAGCATCACAATCGCCACCCTTCCCCAAAAAACTCCACTCAAATTAGTTAATGACAGCCTTGACTAATAATCCTGTCTTTGGTCACCTCTAAAATCTGTGACTTGCACCAAACCACAAGCTCTTTATGGCCTGACATTGCAGTTTTTGCATCTATCTTCCTGGGTCTTTGCTGATGTCCATTCCTGATCTCCTCCTCAGGGCTACACATCTTTCTGGAACGACTGCATCTCCTCTGGCCTCCGGGGCGGCATCCTCATTGAGCTGGCAATGAGGGGAAGGATACAGCTGGAGCCACAGACTATGAGGAAAAAACGACTGCTGGACCGGAAGGTGAGAGGGTTTTTCTGTTCCCTGGCCTCCCTAAGGCTGTTCGTTAGGGCCTGTTTCAATGCGCCTTTAGGAGCCTGGCAGAAGTCTTTGTCTCTCGCTTTCTTTCTGCCTTCTAGGTCCTCCTAAAGTCAGATGCCCCAACGGGAGACGTCCTCCTAGACGAGACGCTGCGGCACCTCAAAGCCACCGAACCTGCCGAGACAGTGCAGACGTGGATTGAGTTGCTGACAGGTGAGGGCGGAAGTGTTTCTGAGCACTGCAGGGCTGCTAAGCCTTTGGGGCATCTACAGATTCCTTCTCATTTTAAGAACTTACGTGCCTCTTATAACAGAAGCTCTAAGCGGTTGACATTGTATAAATATCAGTAAAATCACAAACAAAATAAGTCAGTACATGATACCCGGGTAAATAGGAATCCAGTAAAACATTAAGCAAAATATTAGGAACACTGAAATTATGCCTGTGGGCTGCTACAGTGCTCTGAAGAAAAAAGCATAGTGACCTGTGTTCAAACCCTAAACTGTGGTTAATCCCCTAAGTATTACCTTTTGAAACAAGCCAGCTCCACAACCCATCGCCTTCTTCCCCCTCGCTCCAGTAACGAGGCTGAGAGCCACCTTCCCTGTAGGCTGCCTTCCAGGGGACAGGTGCAAATAGTGAAATGCGAAAGTGGGTGCTACTGTAGGCTACATTCCAGTCTCTTCCTCCAGGTGAGCAAGAGACCCTGTCACAGTTCAAGGACACATCCCAAGCAAAAGCACTCGAGGAGGATGTGAAGCAAGGGCAGTGACGGGTTTGGTCTGGGGATAGTCCCAAGGGCTAGAATAGAGAAGCCTCAGGGGCCACAGTCAGCCCCCAGACAACACGTTCCACCACTGCCACTCCCGCTGCCAAAATTTCATGGGCATATGGTGTTAGTGCAAAATTCTGTAGCTAAAGTACAACCACCTCTCAACCAAGTTTGCATTACAGGTCATCTTTTGTAGATTATTGTAATATGAACCTGAGCAAATCATAGGTTGAAAGACATTCCCATACCTATAATAATAAATAATAATAATAAAATTTATTTATACCCCACCCTCCCCGGCCAGAGCCGGGCTCAGGGCAGCTAACACCAATAAAATCACAGTAAAAACATAATGGGGGGGGGGATGGACAAAAACAAAACAATTTAAAATACAGGTTAAAATACCATTTAAAATGCAGCCTCATTTTAAAAGTAGCTGATAAATCAAGACCCTAAGGGGAGGGAAACATAAGGGTCTGACTGAGTCCAAACCAAAGGCCATGTAAATCCCTAAAATTAAATAAATGAATTTGTTTGTTTTAAAAAACAATCTGTAGCTAGAGTGAGCTAAAACAGTGAGGACTAGAATCTTTGTTTATTTTTAAGGTAACATATGCAGCACAGTAACTGAGCCTCTGCTTTGCGCACAGAAAGGCCCAGCTCAATCTCTGGCTTCTCTTGGTGCAGTTGGGAGACACTTCCTCTCGAAACCTAGCCGGCCACTGCCAGCCAGAGTAGACCGCACTGAGCTAGATGGGCCCTCAAGGTCCTGACCTTGTTGCTGACCCTCTTCCTCGCCTCCCGCAGGTGAGACCTGGAACCCCTTCAAGCTGCAGTACCAGCTCCGCAACGTCCGGGAGCGCATCGCCAAGAACCTTGTGGAGAAGGGGATCCTGACGACCGAGAAGCAGAACTTCCTCCTCTTTGACATGACCACCCACCCGGTCACCAACACCACGGAGAAGCAGCGCTTGGTGAAGAAGCTGCAAGAGAGCGTCCTGGACCGGTGGGTCAATGACCCCCACCGCATGGACAGGCGGACCTTAGCCCTGCTGGTCCTGGCCCACGCCTCTGACGTGCTGGAGAACGTCTTCACCAGCCTGGTCGACGAGAAATACGACGTGGCCATGAACCGGTCCAAGGACCTCATGGACAGAGACCCTGAGGCGGAAGCGGCCAAGGCGGGGGGCTCAGAGATGATCTGGGCTGTGTTGGCAGCCTTCAACAAGTCCTAAAGGCCTCCCGAGTCGGGTGAGGCTGTTCTGAGTGGGTTTGGCCCTCGTTTCCTCTTTAGGACTGAACCTTTTCCGTTCTGTGGAATCTTCCCATGCTCCTTAGCGGTGGGCATTGGTGACTTGCCGCGCCCGTAGCCGCCACCACAGATGTTGGGCATGGCAGGCGACATTCTGTTACAGGAACGCCTATATCTTCACCACCATCTCCTCTTCCTCGGATTTGGGGACTTGTTAGGTTGCAAGAACGAGCAAAGAAGTTTGTGCGCCATTTTCTCCTTCCCCCTGGAAACACGCCCCCGTTCCGTTGTCCCCCCAGTTTAAAATGAAGGTCTGTGTCTGCTAGAAGTGGAGTGAGCCACCTCTTTCGTTTATTTCAAACTCTTTTCTCCGCCCCCCTCTGCTGTTTTAGGGAGGAACAAATTACAATGTGCATTTGGGATTTTTGTTTCGTTTTGTTCCGTTTTTTTCTCTCTGTGTTAAATCTTACAACCCCAACCTCTGTTTTGCCCTGTCTCGTTTTTTCGACCCAGTTTTTCCCTTGTGCTGTTTATTCCTTGTGTTCTGCTGGAAGAAAAAAAACCATTACAGCACAAATCTCTATGCAATCTCTTGTGTGTTATTTTTTCCCCACGCTTTTGATTCTCAGGGTTCCACTTCCTTCCCAGTGGCAATTTGTTTATAAAGTAGGCAGAGAATACCCATAAACTGGTGACGTTCTGTGTGTTCTGGGCTAATGAAAAGCCAAGTGTTGGATCAAGACTTAGTTGCGTTGATTGAAATCAATGAAATTTTAATTTAAAGTCATAAAAACATCAGAAGAGCTCTGCTGGATCAGGCCAATGGCTCATCTGTTCCGGCATCCTGTTCTCACAGTGGCTGATAAGGTGCCCCAATGGGAAACCCAGTAGCAGGATCCAAGCGCAAGAGCACTCTTTCCTCCTGCGGTCGCCAGCAGTTGGCATTCAGAAGCATTGCTGCCTCTTGATTGCGTTAAAATCATTATTTTACTTTTCACAAACATTTCAGTGCTGCTCATCTTATTCTGGATCCAGCCCTGAATTTCTGCACCCACAGCCAACCGCTAAATTCTTGGGATCTGCGCAGATTATGCAAACTGGGCAGATTTGCATGATTTATATAATTTTATTCAGCTTTTGATTGTTACATAATGGAGCCCCTTCCCTTAACCAGCAGCCTTCCCCAAGCCAGGCCCCCTTCAGATATTTTGATCTCCCGCAATCCCTGGCTTGGCTGTCTTTGCTTGATGGGAGCTGTAGTTCAAAACACCTAGAGAGGCACCATGCTGGCAAACCATGACCTATGCCAGTGTTTCCCAACCACTGTTCCGCGGCACACTAGTGTGCCGCGAGATGTTGCCTGGTGTGCCGCGGGAAAAATTAAAAAATTGAAAGATTATTTTTTTTTAAAGTCAAATTTTCGATTGGGGCGCCGTCACTAGATGACCCCTGGGGTTCCCTCCCTCCCTCCCGCTCTGCGCCTCCCTCTCCTCCTCCTCCGGGGAGGCCCTTCCTGGCTCTCGGCCAAGGCTTGGCGGCTGCCACTCACTCACTCGCTCGCCCACCCGTCCCTCCATCCCTGCACCCGGCCTCTCCCCCTCCGTCCCCGGCGCGGGGGCTGCCGGGATCCGTAGTCCCCTCGCCCTTGGGCTCCGCGCCCGCGCGGGGTGCGCGAACTACGTTTCCCAGCGTGGCCTGGCGGGCCGGGCGTTTTGTTTGAAGCGCTCTTCTCCCGGCCATGGAATGAGCGCGGCGGCGGCGGCCGGGCGGGCAGGGGCTCTTCCGCTCAGACCCCGCGCAGCCTGCCTGCGCCCCCGCGGAGATCGGGCGGCAGGATGGAGGCCGGGGATCCCCGCGGAGGCGGAGCGGCGGAGGCTGCCCCCCAGGTAGGGCTGCGTCGGGGGTGTGTGTTATTTTTGCAATGCTGCATCCGCGCTGGAGGGGACGCATCGGACCGCGGGGAGACCCCTTGGCGGGCGTGCAAGGCAATGCATGCGTGCAGGCGTTGCATGGAGTGCAGTGCAATGCAATGGCAACGCGGCGCCCTGCATGCATGCATGCAACTTCCACCGGCGCTCCGGACTTGGCAGGTGAGGGGGGTCCCCAGTGGGCGGCAGAGAGAGCCGGGAGGGCGAAGGGGAGCCGGGGGGGAGCAGCGCTGCTCCCCGAGCCGAGCCCGGGGGGAAACTTCGGCGTCGTTGCGCCGGGTGTTGGAAGCGGAGGCTGGCGGGGGCCCCTCACCTGCAAAACCTGGTCGCCTCTCATATATTTCGTGCATTGCATTCATCGCCCGCTTTCTCCTCCAAGGAGCTCCCGGGGGCGCGCGTGGTTCTCCCCGTGTTATCCTCGCAACAACAGCCCTGCGAGGTGGGTCAGGCGAGTGGCCCAAGGGAGCACCCAGGGATTGTCCTGGCCAGGTGGGGTGATTTGAACCCTGCTCTCTGCCCGGTCTTCGTCCTCATTTAGCCCCCACATGTGCATGACTGTGCATGACTGAGGTTTTCCCCCCTCGTCTTGGCTATGGTGTGAGTCTGTGCTGTTAATTAATGGGGTTCTGCCTTCGGAGAAGATGAGCCAGCCCTCAAGGAGGTGATTATGTAATTTGCTAGCAATTCATGTCCCTCCCGGCGTGACGCTGCGCGCTGACGTCACGGGGCTGTAATGGTGGTGTGCCTCGAGATTTTTTTCATGAAACAAGTGTGCCTTTGCCCAAAAAAGGTTGGGAAACACTGACCTATGCTCTTAAAATCTTCTTCCGTCATCTTCCTGGCTTCTGAGACTTTTAGGTGTTGCCCATACGCTATAGGTCATGTTTTCATGGTCATAAGATCTAGAAGCTTGGTTTTGTTTTGTAAATGAAACCAGACATTCCAGCCAACTGAACTCCATACAGTGGTACCTCGGGTTAAGTACTTAATTCATTCCGGAGGTCCGTTCTTAACCTGAAACTGTTCTTAACCTGAAGCACCACTTTAGTTAATGGGGCCTCCTGCTGCTGCCGCCACGCCGCTTGAACAAGATTTCTGTTCTCATCCTGAAGCAAAGTTCTTAACCTGAAGCACTATTTCTGGGTTAGTGGAGTCTGTAACCTGAAGCGTATGTAACCTGAAGCGTATGTAACCTGAGGTACCACTGTACTCTGATTTGGCAACACAGCATGATACGTGCAGCATTGCTGATATTGCATCTCAGGTTGCTAAGAACTGTTAAGAATTGTATTGGACTAAACGGACTTTTGTTCTGATCCTGCAGTGCTTTTATGGAATCAGAGAATCATAGAGTTGGAAGGGATCCCAAGGATCCTTTAGTCGAACCCCCTGCAATGCAGGATCTTTGGGGAGAGCTCTGTACCCAGAAGTGTGGGTTTAGGAGCCTTGAACCACTTGTTGGAATTAAGTGTGCGAAGCTGCTCCAGGCGGAGTGAAGCGGTTGGTCTGCCTTTCCCAGAGCCCTTTCTGAATTGCCACAGGTCTCTGGGGTCTTGGGCACACCCTTCCCAAGATCCTTTCATCTGCAGTGTGTGTCCTGTGCCCAATGAGCTGTGACCTTTCCCCCAAAGCTGGGGAAAGTTTCCTCCACTGCTGGAGGAAGCAATGCTTGCAAATCCCAGTTGCTGGAAACTGCAGAAGGAGAGTGTGCTCTTGTGCTTGGGTCCTGCCTACAGGTTCCCAATGGGCGTCTGGCTGGCCGCTGTGAGAACAGGATGCTGGCCTAGATGGGCCAAGGGCCTCATCCTGCAGGCTCTCCTTGGATGAACCAAAAGCAGCTGCCTGAAGAGAGAATCCAATCCAACCATTGTTCTATCTTCCATGGCCTGGGATGTGGCTCTTGAACAGAGGAGCTATTTCCTGATCTAGCTAACAGAGTGCCAACAAAGGTCCGTACAGTAAAAGCTATGGTTTTCCCAGTAGTGATGTATGGAAATGAGAGCTGGACCATAAAGAAGGCTGATCGCCGAAGAATTTGTGCTTTTGAATTCTGGTGCTGGAGGAGACTCTTGAGAGTCCCATGGACTGCAAGAAGATCCAACCTCTCCATTCTGAAGGAAATCAGCCCTGAGTGCTCCCTGGAAGGACAGATCCTGAAGCTGAGGCTCCAAGACTTTGGCCACCTCATGAGAAGAGAAGACTCCCTGGAAAAGACCCTGATGTTGGGAAAGATGGAGGGCACAAGGAGAAGGGGACGACAGAGGACGAGATGGTGGGACAGTGTTCTTGAAGCTACGAAGATGAGTTTGACCAAACTGCAGGAGGCAGTGGAAGACAGGAGTGCCTGGCGTGCTCTGGTCCAGGGGGTCACGAAGAGGCGGACACGACTAAACAACAACAACAAGCTAACAGAGATCCTTTTTAATAGGCCATGCCTAGGAGCCTTCTGCAATCCAAGCATGTGCTCTGCTATGGAGCTGTGCTTCCCCACACCCTGCTGGTGTAGAGAGAGGGCCAACCATCCCGAAAAGAAGGCTGCTCCAAGCTTTAGTTGAGTTGCCAAAATAACCTATTAATGTTCCAAGCCTAGGCTGCTATTTTGGTTGGGTATATTGTGACAGGTGTAGTGGACACTCCATGCCAAGATTAGCCAATGAGGTGACGTCTGGATGGTTTGGACTCCAATTCCCATCAGCCCCAGCTAGCATGGCCAGTACCCTGGGATGATGGGAGTTGTAGTTTAGCATCACCTGGAGGCACCTCATTGGCTACCCCTGCTCTGTGCAATGGCATTGCTTGCTGCGCACGTATTGTGCCAGTTCTTGAGGACCAGCACTGGTTGCCTGTATGCTTCTGAGTTCAGTTACAGATGCTTCCGCCAACATATGGAGAACCCTGAATGACATGGCCCCCAAATACCTGAATGAGCACCTCCTAGGTCCACCTGCCCAGGTGTTGAGTTGCCAGCAGGGCCTCCACTGTTTTGTGAAGTTTGTGGGGTGGCAGGGCGTGAGAGGGTCTTTATGGTGGTGGCTCCCCAGATTGTGGAATGCCCTTCCCTCTGGCCCCATCGCTTCTTGTACTTTTTGACGTTGGGTTTTCACCTTTCTGCTCCTTTGAAACGATGGAAGGTGAGACATGATGTAATTGTAGTGTATCATGGGGCAGCATGGTGAATGACAGGCCATAAATATATATAATAAATGGCTGTGCTTTGGGTCGTTGTCTTTCAGTGGGACTCGAGAACTTGTGTCACCCCCAGATACTGTAGGACTTCATCTCCCCTCAGGCTAGGGGATTGCAAATTAGGTGAGTTTGTTGGTGGAGATTTGCTGTTGGAAATTCCAGCTAGCAGTCTAACTGCCTTTCTAAAGGAATTTTCTCCCTTTTTGACATTTTATAAGGATGCATTTTTTAAAATGCAGGTGCTTCTGTCGAGGAAACAAACAAACAAACACACTTTCCCCCTCTCCCCATTAAATGTAAAGCACTGCATTGTATTTCAATTCAGGACGTTTACTTTTTGTGAATTAACATTTCACCACAAACAGGTACAGGATGAGGTATCCAAGAAGAAGGAAAAGAAAAGAAAAACCTTTGGTATAAAATGTACAGCTTCTTCCTTTTTTTTTCCTTTTCGTTTTCTCGTTTACAGGCCAA